TCATCTCCCTGGCTAAAGTCTGTTCTTTCTCATCTTCTGCATCACATGGTCATGAGACCAATGTTCTTTATTAGTCTTCTTTTGATTTTATCAATTTGTTGCTCAGAAATTGATATCAACTTTATATCCTACTTTTTGTTATCTAGTCAACATAATGTCTGACACTCTCCAACAGCTGATTACCCCATAACTTTACGATACCATTTCTTGTTATGCTGGCCTAGATTCACTTAGAACCACTATTGGCACATGTTTGCACGCACTTGTCTTTGAAGTGAAATGTTGCTTCTATTACTCCCTATCAGCCCATGACCTTCTCTGCCTTCTACACTCACTACACAAATTTGCTAAAATAAGCTTCCATAGTTGACTCCACCTAGTTTTCTGTTCCAGCCTCCTTGATGCCCTCTCATACCTTTTTTATTACCTTATGTTCAATGGCACCGATCCACATTCGTTGAGAGATTCGGTAAAATTATATTTTAGGTAAATCATATATATGCATTACACACTAATTTATAAATTTTTCTGAAGCAGAGTATTATGTTTCTTAAAACAACAGAGCTATAATTCATCTAAAAGATCAACTATTGGGGAAACCAGCTGGCTCAGTCAGTAGAACATGTGACTCTTGATCTCGGGGTTGTGAGTTCAAGCCCCACCTTGGGTGTAGAGATTACTTAAAAATTTTTTTTAAAAATTAAACAAATAAATAAATAAAAGATCAACTCATTATTTCCCAAGTGAAACAACCGAGGACCATAGGCATTTAAGTGACTTATCAGAGGTTACATGTCTAATCAGTGGCAAAATTGGAAAACTACCTGCCCATCTTATACTGGTACTACTGGAACAAGCCACCTTTACTTTTCTATTCTATTTCACCTTCCAGCATGTAGGAGATGCCCCTCGCATAAATCACGTAGTCTCACGTGAGCCATGTAGTGGCATCAGCAGCAGACCGTTAAGATAGTGCATTCAAGGGAGAATGCTGGGATTATGAAACTAGGGCTAAGAGCACTAAATCTCCTGTAGGGTTGACCCCATGGAGTGCAGAACAAGTGGAATCGTAGGCGAGTGAGCCAGGGTTAGAGGCAAGGCTTCTCTGGCAGCAGGGGAGCTGAAGATCAAGCTAGGAACCTAGAGCAGTTGAAACCTATCATGGCTGAGCACGTGCAGAAGAAGGAAGATACAGCACAGCGAGCACGCAGGCTGCCGGAGATGAAACAGCAACTGCAGTTTCCAGATCCCACCCACTGTCTCAATCGACAGACGACATTTCTCCTTTTATACTGTTGATCTAGAACCACGTAGGCTCAATCCAGATAGAATGAGCCTAAAACTTGAATGTTGTTGATTACAATAGTTTGGGGGAACTAAGTAAGGCAAGGTTAATAGTACTAAGTTCTGTACATAGCTTTCACTTAAGGAAAGCCAGCAACTGATATTTACTGCATCAGATCATGATCGACAGATAGATAAACAGATAGATGCATACAGAGATAGTGTTGAGCTCGTTAACCCTTTCCTTACCTTCTTCACTCTATCAACTTTGCAGAGGATTGTTCAATTCTGTTGCATCCCTAGTATATCCCTCAAAGTCAACTCGTGAACCCACATGGGATTTGGTTTACCATTTAATGGTTGATTTTCTGCTAACTGACATAATAGCTTCTGATCACTTTCATCTAGGGTGAAATAGTTTAGATTTTGTATAAAATATCTTTTGAAATACCTGTACCTATTCGTAGCTCTGTCCCAGTGTACATTTTGCTTGTTATCATTCACCAGAAGTCACTTCATTTCAGAATTGTGCAATTAATGTTAAATCGAGGCAGCTAAAACTGCCTTGGTATGATTTAGAGATGATGAGTATCTCAAGAGTGTTGCCTGACTGACAGCTGTCAGTTAGGAATGGATCCATAGGATGAACAATTTGACAGCATGCATTTTAGCCCTGGGATTGTGCTTATTCTAAGTTCATGAGTTGGTTCACTGTTGCCTGACTATCTCTACATCATGAGGCTCTGACTGAGATTTTACCAACGTCTTTCAATGAGACTTGCCCATGTCTGCAGTCAAACATTTAATAGCTATTTCTACAATTGGAAATGATGGTGGCAAGTAGGTTGAGACACACAGACAAAAAGCCCTTAAGTGTCACGATCTAATTTTATAATCTGATGCTGAAGAACGTACTAGTGATTTCAGTGGATGGAAACACCACAGATTAGAAACTTAAATCTATATAGTGCACACAGATTGATGATGCTTGTCTGGCTTGACTCACCAGGCTGTTCTGAGAAGTAATTTTCCTTTTTTTTCTTTTTTTTTAAGATTTTATTTATTTATTTGACAAAGAGAGAGACAGTGAGAGAGGGAACACAAGCAGGGGGAGTGGGAGAGGGAGAAGCAGGCTTCCTGCCGAGCAGGGAGCCCGATGCGGGGCTCGATCCCAGGACCCGGGACCATGACCTGAGCCGAAGGCAGACGCTTAACGACTGAGCCACCCAGGCACCCCAAGACGTAATTTTCAAATAGAAAGTTTTGTTATTATTCAGAGAGCCTCAGTAAGATTTTCGAAGAGGTTCCAAGGTAAGAAAGGGTGTTAACTATTAGCCTGAGTCAGCACCAAATCTAATGTGGAAAACCATGAAGTACTCAGCCAAACAGAGGCAATGACATCACAGATTCTATCAGGCCCCTAGTGTACATTGATAATTGAACAATATGAGCAGGAAGAGAAGGCTAGGAACACACACCGTCTGTTTGGTTTTAAAACTCTTGAATGTAGGTCTTCAACCTGCAGAAGAACAAAATGAGGAAACACATGTTCATTAAAATTTTAAGTGAGAAGAATTCTATTTTAATTATTTAGTAAAAATCAATACTCAAACATTGCTCGGGCAAGTCTTTTGCTACAATGCAGTTGTTGTCCACCAGGAGCAAGTTTCCCCCCCAGGGGACATTTGCCTATGTCTGGAGACATTTTTAACTGTCCCAACTAGGGAGTGCTATTGACATCTAGTGGGTAGAGGCCAGGGATGCTGCTAAATAGTCTACAATGCAAAGGACAGCACCTCACAACAAAGAATTTTCTGGCCCAAAATACCAATACTGTCTGCTACAATGTGCGGTAGGGGCACTCTATGTTCACTCCTGGGTTTTTTCCACTAATATACCTATATGAGACTAATACTCCAGATTCACTGTCTTGGCTTAAAATAAGAAAGATGTGATATTCTTTAAAAAAAAAAAAAAGAAGAAGAAGAAGAAATCTAAAATTGTTCCTTCAGAGAAGTATCTATTTTAGCAAAATCTAACATAGTCTCAGTGAAATGAGAAATTATTTTGAAGTTTTGCATGGATAATTTGAGATTAAAAATACAATGCATGTATATATTGTTAAAGACTACTTCCTGGCTATTGGCCTGCTAATTGTATACGTCTGCAATAATCAGCTCAGGCAAAATGCTCAAAGCTAACAAAATTACCTCTGGATTTCTTTGAAAACTCAGTGTCAGGAGCTTACTTTGTGCTGGACAATTCTCAAAGCAAGTTCCTCAGCTTTACTGTTGAGAAGCTTCCTATGGGTTCCCCTTCAGATATGTCTATATAGTGCACACAGATTGATGATGCTTGTCTGGCATGTCCCTCAGCATCCTTCTAGGAAACACTATTTCTACAATAAGTAAAAAATCATTAACCACTTAAAACATTTCAAGTATTATTATAAAGAATAAACACTTAATAAACACTTAATGAGCATTCAGTGAGTGTTCAAATTCAGTTAACCATAAACATTTCTACTAAAATAACAATGTCTTCATTAAATAAATCTACCAACATGTAAAAGACTTGTAAAGATTCCTATACCTCATTTCTCCTTTCGTGGTATCAATTACCTCTACAGGAAAAAAGAAAAATAGTGTTAAAATAACCCTTTAGCTACCATTTAGAAATAGGCTTCTTATGTTGATGTCGATGATACAGAGCCGTGTAATTTAAATGGATTCTACATGTAGAGTGATTAGGAGGCATTAACCTCACAAGCCAATTTCTCCTGGTAAGGTGCTACCCAGTTGTTTTAGCCATAAACTATTAAGCTGCAAAATAAGCATGATACAGCCTGGTTAAAAGAAAAAGCTTTGCATGGAAATGTTCTTGACATTTGCATGCTTTTTTTTCCCCCTGATAAAAGTCATCATCATATGAATGGCTGCCATTTGGTCACCACCTATTTTGTGCTAGAACGTATTCCAGATATTCAGTATGCATGGGGCTGATCATCACCGCCACGTCGCTGAATAGATATTTTCCCCCAGAAAAGAAAATTTCAGCCAAGAGCAAGCACCTACACAACTAACACTTTGAATTAGACTACGATTCAAACCCAGGAAGGCTTTACTCCACAACCAATGACCTAGCGTGGTCTCCACTTGTAGGAAAATTCACGAGCTCAAGAAAATTTAAGATTTGTTTTTTATTCCTTTGTATTTTTCTTTACACAATAGCCTATCGTTCAAATGCCTAAACTCAGATCACAAAAGATTGCTATAGGTACATTTTAATTCCTGCCTTATAGTTAATTCCACAAAGGCATTTTGCCCTGTGTAGTTCTGTTATTTTCCTAGTCCCAAGGCACTGAGGGAAAAAGATTTTCCGTTTGTGATGTATCTCTCAGTTTCTTTCCAGTAAGTGTGACTTTGATCAGCTCAGACATTTGTCAGTTCACACACACCCTCATTTGTAGACTGTTGCAGGACATAGAAGAAAAGATGTTTAGAGTCAACAAGAAGAGCTTGTATGTTCTCTGTCTGAAACTTTTGCTCACTGCTCAGCTTTGTCTGTGTTCACGCTGTGGGGGGGGTGTTTGCTGTGGCGGGGGGGCGGTGTGTGGAGGGGGGTGTAAAGAAGGATACTGAGAATTTTAGAGAAGGCGGGTGGGAGGAGAGATTCTGAGAAACAGAAAGGAAGAAAGAAAAGAAAAGGGAATGGAAAGAAAGGGAGAGGAAATGAGAGAGGAAGGAGGGAGGACTGCTTTGTAGCTGCTAAGATTGCAGACGGAAATAGCACACAACCACCGTGAGCTGTGTGCGACTCAGGAACCGAGAGCCAACTACTCACTTTTATTAATCAGTTGCTCAGAAAGAAGGAAATGACATCTGGCCCCGTCTTCTTCTACATCTTAATTTTGAGTAAATATTGTAAGTATGCTCAGTATTTAATTTTGTATACCTTAATAATATTGTATGAACTAATCACAATTACAAATGTTCATCAGTTACATTTATGCTTTTAATATAAAACTGTTTTTTTCTGATAAAACTGTAATTTCACTTCAGAATTATTCTTAAGTCATTTCTGGTATTTATATTAGAAACTGGACTATATTGGCAGAGTCATAGTTAAGCAAGATTAACATGGCATACAAACCTATGCTTCATAACAACCAATTTGTTTAAGCAACAATTATTTTATAAATAATTTGATAATATCTCAAGAGAAGCAGTCTTTAAAGAGATTGTGTTCAAGTAAGATGCCCATTTGAAATATTCTGGTAGAGTCTACATTTATTCCGGTTTGTGTGTAGTTTTAACGTTTCGTGGTCCCAGTCTTTGTGATTTGATATCATAGGTGTGCCTTCTCACTGAGAAATGCATTCATAAAACTCCTTTTTTATTTAACAAGATCTCTCACTCTTCCTTGAAAGAAAAGCAGGGAAAAGCACAAAGCAATGAAAAGCACAGCCCAGGAGCCCAAATGGGCATTTTTAGTTTTGTTATAATGACAATTCTTGCTCTCTCTATGTGTGCTATAGTTTATTTTTTAGAAAAAAAAAAAATGTAAATCAAGAGAGAGTCATTCTGCATTCAACCCCATTTAAATGATATTATGTAAGTAGAAATAAAATGTTCAGATTTCCTAGGTAATAAATGACGAGAAAGCCAAAGCAAATCAAGAAAGAAAACTTTCTGTGTATCTTTAACACCTATTGATGCTGGGAGTAAGCTTTAACAAATTTAGAATTCACATGCATGTTTACATCCCTCCATATCTTAAAAGTTTGCAGAAGTCAGTTTCCCTAAGATATTCTATTGACAGTGTCTCCAAGTAAATTTCCATCCGAACTCTCCCAGTTCTGATGGCATGTCCTGCATCAAAGTGATTTTTTTTTTCCTTTCTTCTCTTGACCTCCAGTATGCTTTACTTTAATGGTCAAATGTGAGAGACAGCATCAAAACCAAGGCAACAATTCAGAATCCTGGAGAAACATTCTAGCTCCTAGCTTTCTCTGTCTCTAATCTTGGTAACTGAAATTCCATTTTTCATTCCAGTTTTATTGAGAAATAATTGACATACATCACTGGAGAACTTTAAGTCAAAAAGAACGATGGTTTGATTTATATATATTGTGAAATGACTACACAACAGGTTCAGCTAACATCCATCTTATTTATAGATACAATATAAAAGAAAAGAGAACAGAATAAAGGGGAAGAAATTGTTTCCTTGTGATCAGAACTCTTAGGATTTACTCTCTTGACACCTGTTCTATATATCATAGTGATTGGGGGCTGTCATCATCATGCTGGACATGACATCCCTAGCACTTTTTCCCTTATAACTGGAAGCTTGTATCTTTTGACCACTTTCCTTCCCTTCCCCCACTCTCCACCCCCCATTATTTCTGGTAACCACAAGTTTTATCTCTTTTTTCCACAAGTTTGAGACTTTCTTTTTTTTTTTTAAGGTTCCACATATAAGTGAGGTCATACAGTATTTGTCTTTCACTATCTGACTTATTTCACTTTAGCATAATGCCTTCAAGTTCCCTCCATGTGTCACAAACAATAGAATTTTCTCATTTTTATCACTGAATAATATTCCAGTGTGTGTGTATGTGTATATCATATACATATATATGTGTGTGTGTGTGTGTGTGTGTGTGTGTATCACTACTTCTTTATTCCGTCATCCATGGATGGACATGTAGCTTGTTTTTATGCCTTGGCTATTGTAAATAATGCTGCTGTGAATACTGGGGTGCATATTATAATGAGTTAGGGTTTTCATTACCTTTGGATATATTTCCAGAAGTGCAATTGCTGGATCGTATGGTAGTTCTATTTTTAATTTTTTGAGGATCCTTCCATAGTAGCTATGCCAATTTGCAATTCCACCAACAGCATACAAGGATTCACTTTTCTCCACATCCATGCCAGCTTTCTTATCTCTTGTCCTTTTGATGATTGCCATTCTAAAAGGTATGAGGTGATATCTCATTGTGGTTTTGATTCACATTTTCCTAGCGTATGACTAGTGATGTTGAGCATCTTTTCATGTACCCATTGGCCCTGCATATATCTTCTTTGGAGAAATATCTATTCAGGTCCTTTGCCCATTTTTTAATTGGGTTATTTGGTTTTTTGCTATTGAGTTGTATGAGTTCTTGTAATGTTTTGGATATGAACCCCTGATCAGATATATGATTTGCAAATCTTTTTCCTATTCTGTATGTTTTCTTTTCACTTTGTTGATGATTTTCTTTGCTGCACAGAAGCTTGTAAGTTTGGTGTAGTCCCACTTGTTTATTTTTTATTGTGTTGCTTGTGCTTCAGGTGCCATATCCAAAAAATCATTACCAAAATCCATATCAAAGAGCTTTGTTTCTATGTTTTCTCCTAGAATTTTCATGGTTTCAGTTCCTATGTTTAAGATGCATTACCCATTTTCTTAACCAGAGGGCCAAAAGCCAAATTGCAAACCACCACAAAAAAGTGAATGTTTCTCATTATAATCCAAGCATTTAAGCTACCAGAGTTTTTAACATTTGTAGCCAAAACCCTCATAAATCAAACATTTTACTATTTCCTATTCCATTTCAATGAAATGAATAGATTCAATAAGCCAAAGGAATACTTCCAAGTTAGGCATTCTAATATGGAAAATGGAATTCTAATATGATAAACTCAAGGATATGTAAAAGGTGTTCAGGGCAGGTTGAAAAGCAACTTTAGCTAATGTGTTACCAGCCAATTCAGCTTAGTAAAAAAAGTTCCCTGTTTACATATTCTCTTTTGTTAAAAAAAAATTATTTTCATGAACAGAAAATAAAAAGTAGATGATAATGATGGTGATGATGATGAAGATGTCAAAAACCTCCAACTTTTTAAAATTTAAGTTATCTTGTGACTTAAAAAATATTTTTTTTGATATTGAAGTGTGAGTACTTAAGAGTTCCAAGTTCTCATCCTTCCACGCCATCTGCAAAGGATGAAGGCACAAACATCTGATGCAGAGTTTGGCAAGCAGGATTCCTGGCTGTAGGGTGTCAACTGAGTGGGGAGGGTGGAAGGGTATTTGGCGGGAACCTCCAAAATAGCAACCCACACCCATAATGCATCTCCTATTTTATCCCACCATCCAGCTCCACCAAGAGAGGGTTTCCTATGCACAGAGCAAAAGAAGTCAACAACTACATAAGAACAAAATCTTAAATCTCTATAACTACCCTTTGGTGGTTATTATTTGTTTGTTTGTTTGTTTGTTTGTTTGTTTGTTTTTTAATCCACTCTTCTGTTGCCTGGGAAAGGCAATGGGATCTCCTGGAAGACTGCTGGCCCAAGGTGCTTCACAGCACCACCACATACTGGTTCTAAGATTTGCAGCAATGAGTTACCCTCTCAAGTCTTAATTTGTAAAATGGAAATAAAATCTTTCACCCTATCCACATCCCAGAGCCCTATGTTTGTTTCTTTATTACATAAATTACCTCCTTGAATCTTTACAACTCTATTATGTAGATAAAATGAAGTACACGAGGAAGGCAAGACCCAAGGACATTCAGTACCTTGTCACAAGACTCAGGCTCGTAAATAATAATAAGACTCAAGATCTGCATGGTTTTAAAGCCTCTACTTTTTCTCCTAGACTGTGAACACTCTGAGAGATCATGTGTGTAAAGACGTAAGCAATTATTAGTTACCTTTTTAACCAAAAATATTTACTGAATGCCAGTTACCTTAATAAGCATGAGACTAAAGGGTGACTACAGCATGATCCCTGGTCTGAAGGGGAGACTAGAGAAGACAGAAAGTTAATCTAGGATTATCAGTGAGACAAGGGCGAAAACCTAGATGTACACAGATCAAGGCAACTTTAAGATTTAGAAAAGGTTTTCTTTCACCCTTGAGAATTTCTAATTCTCCAAAAATTCCTCTGCCTGTAGTCTAGTTAGCTATATTGTGCCAATGTTGATTTATTATTAGTTTTGATAATGTACTGTGGTTATGTAAGATTTCACCATTAGGGGAAGTTGGGTAAAGAGTATATAGGACCTCTCTGTGCTATTTTTGCAACTTCTTGTGAGTCTATAATATTTCAAAACTAAAAGTTAAAAAACAATCCCCAAGAAGAATCGTATCTTAAGTCCTTATCAGCAAATGCTTTACTTATTACTTAAACAGTATCATTAAACAAAAACAATCATTTTACTTAATACTTCGGAGAGACGGGGAACCAGTGAAGAAATAGGAAACAGAAGAAGCCCAAACATAAACTTGTTCCACTTCAGTATTTTGCCAAGAACTGATCCAGCTGGGAAAGTCCTCACTTGTAGATTCCAAATGGATACTCACAAGACCATGTGGGCTTTTCTTTAGGTCTTAAAACAGGCATATCTTCTAACAATTTTTCTCTAACCATTAAAAAGGAGAAAGGAAGAGGTTTTCCCAGAACAGACCATCAGGATGTGAAAAAAGAGAATACTGAGCTATTTACCCGCCTCCAAAAGATGAGAGAATAAACTCTCCAATACGCAGACTACAGAATTATGTATCATTCCACCCTACATTTTTGAAGGTTATTAATAATTTTGTATTGTTCTTTCTTTGAGTTTGGAATCATATTTTTAAATTTTAAGTAGAAAGAAAATTAACAAGTCTGTGCAAATACATCATTGTCATCTGTATAAAGGGAAACAAGGTACCACATTTGTGAACTAAATAGTTTCACAAACATAATTTCACACATTAAGACAAACTTGTAAAACTGAAATGTGCTTGGAATTGGGTATTCTACTTAGGTGCGGTTTTTTTTATTTTATTTTGTCTGAAAAACTGTAAATACTTATAACATTTTTATTCCAAGCACTATGATTGTGGTTATAATTGTAGTTGTTATATTTACCATTTATTGAGAGCTT